CAAAAGTTTCTGTATCTTAGGTAAGTAGCTTTGAGTATTACATTATTAGGACTTTTCTTAGTTTTTAAATGTAGTTTATCCCGGTTTTTCATGCACTTCAATAATCCAGTAGTTATCCAGGGCTTTTTGATTCGTTTGCGGTTGGAAACAGTAATTTTATGCGTATTACATTCAATGGTGGAGTTTAAAATATTTAGAAGAAAGGAAGTAGCTACGTTAGCGTCAGTTAAGTTATAAATGGGGTTCAAGCAAACGTTGTTCATGCTAATATCTAGTTTATCATAGTCAATTTTTTTAATCGTAGATGCTTTTGTCTGTTGTATATGATACTTTAATGTTATAATAACGCAATCGTGGTCAGTCACAGATGTTTCGGCAACGTAGCAAAAAGCCGGAATAGTACTTTTTAGCATTATGTGATCCAAACACGTTTTACAATGTGTAGGTAATTGATGGGCAGGCAAGATACTATGTGAGGCAAGAAGGTCGAGGTAAATAGGTGAGTTTTGATCTTTATTATTTGGCAGTATGTCTATATTAATGTCTCCTACTATAATAATATTACGGGATTTTAGATTGCTGAGTAGTTTATTTAATGACTCGATAAAAGGATGAATATTTTTGTATCCCGGTGGTCGGTATATTGCAACTAAAGTGGTATTGCTGTCTATTTTTATTGTTATACAGTTGGCATCCAGCAAGGTGTTTTCCAATAGAGAAACCCGCATTGTGTTTTTAAAGTATACAATTACGCCTTCATTTTGGGTTAGATTATTTTCAGATTTAAAGTAATTATAGCCGTCAATATGGGGTATACTGTGAGCGTGTCGCAGCCAGCACTCAGTAACCACTATTAAATCCCAATCAGTGTTCGACCTTTCGAGGAGTGTTAAAAGTCCTGGAAGATTTCGAGTTATACTGCGAATGTTTTGGTGGATAACTTTTAAGCTCGGTTCTTGATTGTCTATTAACTTAGGACACTCTTCTATCTCACAGGTGGATGCTTGAGCAACTTGAAAATGGTCAAGAAGGCCATTTAGAATGTTAATGTTATCGAATTTGAAAGTTTGTAAAGTAACTAGGTGTGTTCAAGTATAGTGAAGAGAGCATAATAAAAAATTCCAGGACTGTGCAAGAATGGTAATTAAGTCTTAATTCATTTACTGAAGATATATAGGAGTTATATATGATATGTGACTGTACCGTACTAAGAGTAGTGTATAATTGATAATAAGGGTTTAGTGTATAATTTTTGCAACTACAGGCATAATTAAAGCAAGTTTTAGGATAAAGAGAGCAATTTATGCTCAGAGTAGGGACGTATGCGTTATGAATTGTGTAAACATGTGTATATTGAGTGTTGTTTTGGAGTAGTGAGTGTAAATAGTATGTGTGTTGTGTTAGTGATGAAGTTGTAATGTGTTCGTAAGTTTTGTTCGTTGGATGTTTAAGTATTTTGTTAGTATTATAATAGCAGTTTACGATAAAATTAAAGAAAAAACAGAGCATCAATAAATTTAACATAACCAGCGACAGTCATTTAATTATAGTGGCAGTTAAATCTTGTTCGCTATTTATACGTATCGCCGGTGAAGTCTGCGACCTTCTTATGTATACTTTGCCGTACGAGGTCCAGGTGCTGTGATATTGATTTTCTTTCACGAACCGTCTAGCCAGATACGCAAGTCTTCTCCCGAGGCTTGTTAGTGATTCATCAATGTACACCGGTTTGGGAGGTCCTGGTAACTTGAGGTGTGTGGTATTGAGCTTACTATCTTTCGACATTTTATTAAAAATTTTACATTGCTTGATGAACCCATCCTTACATGAGGTTGTAAAAAAGTTCACGACAATGTGGTTACTAGTATTGTTTTTTGTTTTTAAACGATATACATCATGAATGTCTGAGTCCAAAACAGGGTGCTGTATAACCTCACCAGCGTTCTTGATCAAGGTGCTGAGAGTTAATTTATTTTCTGCTGGCAGTTTTGAGATATTCCTGATTTCAACTGAGGAAGCGCGTGAATTCCGTTCAAATAATTCAATTTTGCTTTCAAGCGATTCTATTTTCAGCTCGTAAACTTTGTTTTTTTGTTCCAAATGGAGCAATTTATCCACTACCTCGTCATAACGCGCAGACAAAAACTCTATGCTTTTTTGTATTCCTGCGTTTTGCTCCTGGATAACAAGCACAGACTTCATAAGTTTCTCAAACTTTGAGCTCTGTAAACTCTCAAAAGTCTCAAACATGTCCTTCAATTGATCAGTAATAGGGTTAATTTCTGCGGACTTATCACCATCGTCAGGAAGTCTGCGTTTCGTCCTACGGTTAGCATTATGCTCCGTGTAATCAGCTAGTCTAGGATCTTGTGAAGAAACGGGTAATTGCGGGTCCGATCCATATGATGTAACGGTCGTCTTTAATAAAATAGGGTGATTTTTCGTCTTTGGCGGTGTACGTTTGAGAGACATTATTTGTAAATAAACTCAAGTAAACAACGTTTCAACTACTCACGAACGCGGGGAAGCGGCGAGAAAACAGGCTGACCTCCCTGGCTAGTTGCAGATGCGCCGGTGGGTTGTCCTAGTGGTAGTGCAGTGGCTGCGGCACGTATCGTTGTCTCGCCTGATCGTATTACGCTTGCTGAGATAACGATGTTGATGCTACACGTCGCTAAACAATATTCATATACCAGTACTCATACTCGTTCTTCGAAATAAACATTGAAAATGTATTATGCAAAATAAAAATAACAATTCGGACCGTTCGAAAGCAGGAACCGGCGAGATCGCGGTAAGAACGTCGTAACCGCCGTGCAGAGAGCGTCGCTTACGCGTATTTATAAAACACCACGATAGTCGCTTATTGACGGTATTATGTTTTGATGGATTATAAATCTCGTTGTTCAGTATTTGGTGTAATGCACTATTTTTGAGACAGTCAATCCCAAAATCTTTGGACACAAACTTTGTAAGCACTTTTACTGAATAATATCGTTATAAAAATCACTTGCAATGAAGTTGTCGAATTAATTATGCGGAGCAAATTCAATATACTGTTAACTGCGCGGTATCCAAAAATAAGTGTTCTTTTCAATTAGCTAGTGCGTCTCTGTCCGCCGGCAGTGACTGACGTGAAAGCATGGCTGTACGTGTTATTTTAAAACGTAATCGTATCGAGCTTTCGATACCTTAACGTTAGTGCTTCGTGCTACCGCCTATCGTAAAACTCCGTAAACGTATCGAGGACTCGATACGTTTACGATACGCATTCGAAAATGTTTCGTGCTCGAGGCACTGCAGTCGATTCAGTGGTTGCTTTAATTAGGTCGATCCAGCGGGTTGGGGATCGACCCCGTGGTCTAGTGCCCTCCACACGGCCTTGCACCACAAGTTTCTCCATCGAGTACTGCTTTCTAGAGATGTGTCCAAAGATCTTCAGTATTCTTAGAGGATGGAGTTATTAGTGCGGATTGCTGTCCAGGGTATATTTAGCAGTCGTCTCCAGCACCACATCTCTAAGGCATCAATTTTTTACCGATCTTATTTTCTAAGAGACCAGGTTTCAGCCCCGTAAAGAAAGATTGGAAACACGAGGCATTTCATCAAGCGGACTTTTGTGTTCTTGGTAATTCTCCTATCTTTCCAAATCGTTCCACTGCTGACCTACTGATGGTGTATCTACGCTTGATCTCATCTTCGCATCCTCCAACGTTCGAGATAGCGGCACCAAGGTAAATATAGCGTTGCACTACTTCGCAATTGGCTATACTCACAAGATCCGCGTGTTCTTGTCCGGTTCGATCCACCATCATAACCTTGGTCTTATCTCTGTTTAAAACAAGGAAAACCTCTACTCGGACCCAATTCGTCGCCGGCGAACCGGGCGGCGGAGGCGCTAACCACTGCCTCATGCCGCCTTGAGTGTGTCCGTGGGTGGACGAAACGGGTTTTCCCCTCCACTTGCCATAACGGCTAGCCGCAGGAGGCGACGTTCGCGTGTGCCGGATGTCGCCTAAATGGAGAATGTACCCGCAAAGAAAGGGGTCCGGAAGTCCTAATAATAGCGGTTCCCGGATCTCTCCTATAACAGGAGCAGAGTGGCATACCGTGTGGTTTTAGTCGGTCCGATTCCGACACACCACCCCGCCGCAAACCCCGGTGGGGTGAAGGCCCGAGGGGATTTCTACACGTAAAAAAAAAACAAAAATGGATCAGGGTGACCTACCAGTGCCTTGAGAAGTAGAGGCACACCGTAGAGGACTGAGCTCCGCCAGATCTTGGTGGCAGTGTTGGATCAACGGCTTGCGTGGCCCAGTGCAGGGCACGCCGCCATAGCGGCGGTAAAACCCGTACTACGAGAGTGGCTGGAGAGGAAACACGGTGCTCTCACCTTCCGGATGACGCAGGTGCTTTTCGGACACGGTTGCTATGGCAAGTACCTGTGTCGGATCGGCCGGGAGCCTACGTCACGGTGCCATCATTGTGATGACTGCCCTGACGACACGGCGCTTCACACGCTGGCGGAATGCCCAGCTTGGGCCAGAACAGATACAGACCTGAGGCAGCGCACAGTGTTCCGTCTGCGCTTTTAGAGGAATGCGATCGAAGGGTGAGGGTCGCAACGGGTGACCAGACCCGTCTTAGGTGAGACGGGTCAATGCCTGTGGGGGCTGGCGGAAGAATGCAATTGCGATTCTCGCTCCCCCGGCAATTGGCGAGAAGAGGAACACCGGAGTGGTTTTTAGTCGGTAAGAGTCTGACAAACCCTTTCGCCACCCCCTAACGGCCGAAGGACATCTATGAGGATCTTCCACCGTGTTAACAAAAAACAAATCCAGAGGATATGATGAGCACTGTTCACAGATGGAGTTAGGTGTTGGGGATTGACACAATGGTGACTCGATTAATTAAAATAAATACAGTCTCTTAAAGTTACCAGTTAGTCTTGGGTGTACTAAATCTTTTTATTGAAATATATTTTTGTACATTCAATAGTCTTATTGCGAATCACTATCGCTGCCAGAATAATCTGCTAGTAGGGACAGTCCAGTTGCACTGGGAGTTGACTGACTCCTCTCTTCATTACTCTTATTGGCTACAGTACTTACTACATTATCTGAACTTTTCTCTGTTGTACTCTGTACATCAGACTCCTTTTTACTCCTCACTAAGTTTGCCAATGCTGGCTTCTTGGATAAAACTCCTATACTCTTGTTCCATGTTCGCTGCTTTGTAACATCTGTGGGTTTCTTCGGGGCAACTTCTATTCTAGAAGATTTAGCTGAAGGGCCACTGTCTTCATCTACAACTTCCTCGATTATTTCTTCTACTACTCTCTTGGCTGCTGGATTGCTGAATTTAATTGACCTGAAAATATATTTATAAAATTATTTTATTGGAATGTAATATAAATATTAATGTAAGTGTTAAATTAAATAATATTACAAATTATTGAAACCTTTCATTGAACTAACTTTAACCAGAATTTTGAAGTGTCAATCTACACGTAAACTAGGGAATTAAGTGAAGAAGTGTATTTTGCAGTTGTATCATAAAAAACTTTAAAATTTCTCTTATTCTTTTGAAGAGAATTTAACAGTGCTAATAGAAACTAGACATAGGCCTCTTCCATTGCACGCCACTTAGATCGATTTTGGGCTTCTCGCATCCAGCTCCTGTCAGCCACCTTGCTCAAATCGTCACTCCACCTGGCCTGTGGGCGTCCTACACTACGTTTGCCGAGACGCGATCTCGCGATCTGCAACAACTCGTTTTCCCCAACGGTTGTCGGTTCTGGGGCAAATATGGCCCACTGCCACTTCTGCTTGCTTATCCGGTAGGCTATGTCGGTGACCATGGTTCTCTGCCGGAACACCTCATTCCTGATGCGATCCCTTAGAGAAACGCCGAGCATAGGCCTTTCCATAGCACGTTGAGCGACTTAAAACTTGTGGACCAGCCGTATCGTAAGAGTCCACGTTTCGGCTCCGTATGTCATGACGGGTAGGACGCACTCATTGACGGCTTTCGTCTTAAGGCAATGTGGGATCGACGATGAGAAGACTCGACGTAGCTTCCCTAACGCTGCCCAACCCAACTGAATTCTTCTGTTCACCTCGTCCTCGAAGTTGTTTCTACCTAACTGCAATGTCTGCCCGAGGTATACATAATTTTGAACAACTTCGATGTTCGTTGAACATGACCTTGGTTTTATCCAAGTTCATCCGTAGGCCGATGCGTAGAGAAGAGTCAGCATGGTCATTCAGCATCTGCTGTAGGTCCTGCAGCATCTCTGCCATGATGATGATGTCGTCTGCCAATCGCAAGTGAGAGATGTATTCGCCATTGATATTGATGCCACGCCCTTTCCAGTGCAGCGTCTTGAACATGTCCTCCATTGCATTTGTGAACAATTTCGGGGAAATAACGTCCCCTTGTCTAACTCCTCGATGCAACGGTATGGGCCTTGTTTGCTGATTCTGTACTTGGACGGACATGGTGGCGGCTTCGTAGAGACATTTCATCACTTGGATATGTCGCCAATCTACTTGCTGCGATAGACTGAGGATGATGATGAATAGAAACTTGAAATAAAACGATTTGTTTTAAATGCGCGATTTCCTCTTGTCGTAATTTATGCCTTTCAATATAAAGATGCCTTACTTATTTATTCTACGGAGACAAATATATGTATATCTAAGTGAAAATCCAGGGTTTTATGAAAAAATCATTTTGAGCTCTTTTATCATACATATGGTTGTAAAAGTTGTTATTGTTAAGTTCGTTAACGATCTGGCACATCACTAGTTAATACACATTCAGATAAAAAAACAAATGTACAAGCACTTTTAAATTGCGACTAGTAATAATAATCTTATTCTGTAGTAGTAATAATAGTCTTATTCTGTTACAATAGAGCCGAAAATTTTGTGCAAGTTCTATAATCTAGTACAGCGGAATGCGGGATTGCTTTCGTACTTTCACCTCGCTATGACGCGCAATTCCTCGCACATATGTATGTGCAACTGCGTGAGCATGTTCGAACACTCATGTTCTTTTTCTCTTCACGCAACGCAATTTCTCATTCGAAATTTGACAAGATGTTCTTCTAAAAATGATTTCTATGTGTCGTTATTTACTGAATTGCGCTAATATCTAAATATATACCTAAAAGCAACGGATATTTGAATATAAATTGTGTGAGTATGAGCGATGCTGTTTGCGCATAAGTGCGAGAATACTCATGTTTTACACGCTCATGTTCCAGTATGCGAACTTTTATTCGCTAGATCTGTGACCTCCCTTAAGCAATAAAGGTCGCGATAGCATTTGATATAACTATCGAGTGCAATTTGCGAATTAATTCTTATGTAGCGAGCTCACTCTTGACAATACTTGTAATCTCATTAACATCAGATTAAAATAGATCTATGTCAAGTAAACATATTCCAACTTACTTTATGAATTCATTATCTTCTTTCTCTTCTCTGGCTCTTCTCTCATCAGCAGTTTCAGGCTGGTACTGCTTCAGCATACCTTCATAATCAACAGCACGCTGTCTTCTGTTTAATTCCTTCAACTCTTCCAAATTTTCTAATGATTCTATTTCTTGTTTAGATTGTTCTGTTCTGTACTCTGAAATTAAGAAAATATTACATAGTTATGAAGCCGATTAAAGCATTTCGGATTCGAGTGTGGCCCCTGCATGGAATTGCATATCAATACCATCGTTTTTGTTTAAACTGCATTTTGTGTTGCCATCTATATACTCATAGATACAAACTTATAAAATTATGATAGTTAATAGTTCATCAATAAGTCGTCTGAAAACACCATTTATAATTTTTTGTTAAGATACTGAAGTAAAAAAAAACAAAAGAGAAGGAACAAGTTACTTAATTTCTTTATTTACTGTGTTATTGACAGAAAACTTGTGAATTATATATTGCACTGAAATAAAATAAAATCTTTTTTTGTACAGTTTCAGAGTGAGAAAAGATAAGTCTCAGATTTCCTTTGGTTTGAGTTACATACCATTACTTGGTTCACATAACCTAATCCATCTAATTTAGTAAATATCTTTTTTACAATTGCTTTCCGTTTAACCTACATTTCCTTTTGAATTGACTTCCCAAATTATTTCCCATATTTAAATTCTAAAGTGCCCAGTGGATGGCAATACTTGACTAGACTTATTGCTATAGATCTCATATTATGTGAGTGGGACCAAATGGATGTTTAGGCTAAAGAAATGACTGTATATCATACCCAGTAACTTCATAGGATTGTTGGCTTCTTCTTCCTTTTGCTCTTCTTCCTCACGTTTTGCTTGTTCTTCTGCAAGTTTTAGTGCCATAAAGTTCCTTGTTGCCCCTGCTTCTATTTCATAGTCTGTGTTACGTGGATCAGTTTTGAAAGATATTTCTTGAAGACATCTTGTGCACTGAAATTTTGGAAAAATGATAGTGTGTAATGTAAAACTTCCTGTGTGAGTCTTTCACAAGACAGATAAATCATATGTTTTAAAAGATTCAATTTTTGCATAGTACAATTATTTGAATATGGGTATTGTTCTAGGGAACAAAATATAACCTGTACTCAGTTTGAGTTTAAATCAATTATCCTATCCTACAGTTCAGTGTGGGATATAGCACTCCTAATGTGCACCACAACAGCCAGGAAACAGGTAACAGCTGCTGCCTTTTCACTTTCAATGATTATGATTTCATCACTTAAGATTTTTAACTGTTTACTAATCTATCAATATCACATATGAAATCACTTACTTAGTACAGCCCTTACTTAGCAATCTTAGGTCAAAGGAGGTGACAAATATCTCATCTGATAGATACATAATCACATCACATCAACAGTCTTTAGTAGTCCACTACTGGACATAGACCTCTACTTAGAAAGGAGGTTCTGGCCTACTGTGCCAAGCTCGCAATAGGGTTTGGATAAGTATTCCTACTCTTTGCAGTGCTGGAGTCTTGCATAGTTTGTTTCCTAAGTCGGCTCTTACACCACCCACGATATGAATAGGGGTGGTGACACTACATATTCTTCATGTGTGGATACTAGAATAGAGATGTGTAGCTCTTAAGTGAGAGAACTATAAGATGTATATATCACTCATAGTGATATGATGTGACACTAGCTGTCACTACCTAAGAATTTATGAGTCACTTAGCTCATTTATGAGTAACTTAGCTCTAACTTCCTAACTCTATTGCTCAGTCTCAGCCCTGGCATGGATCTCTATTTTATTTCATGAGAAATAAATACATATTGTTCAAAATTATTTTATTAGGATGCCTAGTCTCCTAAGCTTTATATGCATATAGGTCTTACTTTCTTCAAAACTTAAACAAGTTTGTTTAGTTTCACAATCCTAAACCTAGCAGTTATACAGGAAATTTACTTTATATGTATGATTTCTAATGCCCAACCTTATTAAAAATAAAATAAATTTAATGAGTTAAGTCTCAAACTTAATTCAACCTAAACAATAATAAATTAAGAACCATTGTAAGAGTATAAATATAATTAATGAATAGTTAAAAGTGAGCTACATGAGAATTTGAATCAATTCAGTAGCCAATTATTGAATATTTAAATAATTTATCTAATGCATAATGAACAAATAAAAACACAGTACACCAACCCCAAGTCTCCGGACTTATTGAATACTAGCTAACCCCAAAAGGAAAACCGTTAGTACTAACAAATACTAATAAATAAAACTAAGATCGATTAGTTATAACATTTATAGCTCAAGAACAACTGGACAAATTTATGTAATATTTGATTTTTTGGATTTATCTCTGCCCCAAATAATAGAGTATTTAAAAATCATGAAAACCATGATGAATGGAATTGTCTTTTCTCTATGGGATAAGGGGGCAAACGAGTTGACGGGTAACCTGATGGTAAGCAACTACCGTCGCCTATGGTCATCTGCAACTCAAAAGTCACAAGTGCGTTGCTGCCCTTAGAGTCTCTCCCGCTCGAGTCATGAGGAGGGGGGATTTGGGCTCCGGTAACCTCACTCAGTGAAAGGCAACGAAAGAATTGCTTAACACCAGTTTTCTGTGAGGCCTTGGTATCACTCCGATCGAGCCGTCTTGCTGTCTAAAAACGCAATTGACACTGCGGAAAACTACTAGTATCTAATAAGTTCACTAAATGAGTCCTAAGAATGCTAAACTGCAAACAAGTACTCACCTTAATATAAAACCTGTAAATCCTTATACCAAGGTAATCCTCATTCTCGACGTCTTCTTTTCTAGCGTTGAATTTTTTACCCTTATATATGTATTCGCCGCATGTAGCACAACGCATGTTGAATGGAGCCATTAGACGTACTGTATACTGCCGGTTTTTCGCCAATTTCATACGCGGAATCTTCGACGGATCGAAGTCCGGAGGATAGTATTTCTAAAAACAGTATAAGTGTACTTTATACATGTACTACAATTGGAATTCAGAATTAACTCTTCCGTATGTAAATAAATAATAAATATTGTAAAATACTTACATTAAGCACTTTTCTCTCAGACATTTTGTAGTTTTAGAGAATGAGGATTCTAATGTAATAATGCATGTAAACACAATAACACCACACGACTTTTGATAATGACAGTTCTGAGTCTGACTTTCTGGTTCTGACTTACACGTTTAAGTGTTGCCAGATTTTGTTTTTAGAAACTACTAGCACCAACATAAAAACCGTATTGAAACACACTAACAGTTATAGTCTGTCAAGAAAGTCATGAAATTAATGTTTGTGGAACTAAAACTTCGGCAACAATTGGCAACACTCATTGTCTGCCAAACTAAGTAGTTCAGCTGTCAGCTTCGTTGTTTTGTTGTACAAATTTGTTTTTCTTGGTTTTCATGGAGTTTATTTTTATCCAGTTACAGTTTGGAGATAAAAAGTGAATCTAAATACTTATAAGAGTGGTGCGAGACAGGTTGTATTCAATGTTTTTCAAGAGTGTATGGCCGAATTTCAAGCGGGAAAATTTTGTTCCGATTTGGACGATATTTACGGTCGAACAGCAAAATTAACCGGTACGTAAGTTTATTCTTATGTTAAACACGGTACAGGAAGTGCATATCTTGTAATAATTATTTGTTTTTATACAAATTTATCTATTTTTAAACATTGTTTTCTTTTTGTAAAGGTTATGTTATTTACCTACGAATTGTACTTCAACGCAAACATTCTTGATCCATTCTGTATTAATGATAGTTAATTATGAAAAATATTTTTTATGGTATTGTGGTTTCAGGTGTTTCCGTAAGCACAGTTCGTCGTATAGTGGATGAAGGCTTCAAGAATGAAGGAAAATTAGTAACGCATGGAAAACACAGACAAGGCCGGCCAAAAAAACAAATTGATGATTTTGATTTATGTGCGATTCGTCAAAAGGTTATTTTTTTTACACAGTGCAGAAAGAAGTACCTACGCTTAGGAAATTACTGGCAGTTGTGAAGGCAGACTTAAATTTTGATGGCAGCCATGAATTTCTAAGGCAAATTTTAATTTCGATTGGCTTTAAATTTAAAAAATGCCAATCAAACAGACAAGCTTTAATCGAAAAACCTGCAATTGCTTCAAAACGCGAGTTATATTTGAAGCAGATCCTTGATAACCAAAGATTGCCTGAGGAGCTCCAAAAATATATAATTTATTTAGATGAGAGCTACATACATGAGTCGTACAAGGTCACTTAATGTTGGCAATCTATGAATATTGCTGGTATCGAGCAAAATATTGGCAAAGGTAAGAGATGGATAATTGTGCATGCCGGAAGTGACAAAGGTTTTGTGCCTAATGCACTTCTAATATTTACGGGCAAAAATAAACAAGAGGATTACCACTCTGAGATGAATGTCCAAAATTTCACTAAATGGGTAACAGAAAAATTTGCATGAACCCACAATTATTGTTATGGACAATGCACCATACCATTCCGTAATAACAAACAGGGTATTATAAATTTGAAATATTTCTTAATTTTTATACTTCCCATTTTATTAAGATTTGTTAAAAATAATGAACTATTTTTTGACTATATATTATGGAATGTGACTGTTATAATTTGTTTACTTCTTTGTTGTAGGCTCCTACAAATGCTTCAACTGTAAATAAAATTAAATTGTGGTTACTGGAAAATAACATTCCATTTGATGAATCGTTACAAAAGCCATATTTATTAATGCTTGTAAAAAAACACAAACCTGAACTGGTGTATCATATTGATGGTCTTCTAGGAGATCATGGGCATACAGTGATAAGACTGCCACTTTACCACTGCGACCTGAATCCTATAGAACTAGTTTGGGCAATGGTAAAGAAACGAATTGCGCAAAAGAATGTTGGTGGTCAGAATGTTGCGAAATTGGCTGAAGAAGCATTCCAGTCGGTAACACCACAAGAATGGAAGAATTGTGTTGAGCATGTAAAAAGCATTGAAAAAGAATATTTTTCCCGTGGAAGAACTCTGTACAATGAGATAGACAGACTTTTTGTATCTGTATGTGATGATAGTTCCAGTGATTCTGAAGAGGTAGAAGTGGACTGAATAAATTATACAGGAGTTTCCGGCAACATTTCGGGTGTTGATTACCTTGATTCAGACTGGGATAAATAAATCAGTATAAAAAATATATATAATTATAATACTTACATCTTTTATTTTCATTTTAACACCATGTGACTGTCTGGCTTACATACATATTCATACATACATACATATATTCATACATACTGCCTGTGTTGGTGTATTTGTCTAGCTGAATACAAGTTATCTTTGGCTACGAAAATGTAATAGCCCTTCTATATCATCAAAATAAGGCTAAGCAGGTAGTTCTGTATTTTCTCATTATACTGTGTTAAATTAAGTGTAAAAAGGTTTAATAAACACACTTTCAAAATATCACTTAGAGCTATTTCAGCTCTTTTTAAAGTGATTTTGTTACCCCCCCTCCCCCCAGGAAGATATAAGATAAGTGGGAGAGCACAAGCCAGGGAAGTATATTTGGTTTTTAAGAAAGAAATAAGTTTGAAATAAATAATTTTGAGCAAACGAGCACTTAGCACTTTAATTTGTCCTACAAAATCAAGACGTTTATAATGAATAAATATTTGCAGTCATAAACCCTACGCGGGTTTATACAGGGATTCTGGCAAAATAAAACAATATATTGTTTTATAAAAAAAAGTATCTACATCTTTTAGTCAAAGTACACAGGGATACCAGGTATAACAGCAGTGGCGCCCTCCATTTTTTTCATGACTTTCTTGACAGACTATAGACAGTCACATCTTTACATGGTCTAAAATGAAGTCTTTTTTTCTTGTACGCTTAGATCTTTTAAACACAGAACGGAATTAAATGTGGTTTTCACCAAATGGTAAAGTAATTTGAGAGGCGGATTTATATGTAAAAACATGCGTTTTATAGTCTCAGAATTTCAAAGATTTCTAATGTGAAGTCGTAAAAACATTTTTTGTGCGCTTACATTGCAAATGCTGGTTAAACCTTACAGGACAGATCAGAATAATGTACTATGGAATTGTATCTTGAAAAGATATACAAAAAAAGAGGATCCAGTCCTTCTATTCGGGCGGCATGTGCGTGTCATATACAAGCCGAGCCTACACCGACCAGCGCCTACAATATAACAACGTCTTCAGGGTGCTGTTGCGTCTGCCGCGGCATTGTAGTGCATGTTTGCCGTAGCGCGCACAGAGGGTTTTCATGCTATCATGCGTAAAAACGCGACTTCCTTGCTACAGCGATTTCGTAACGCCCAGAACGGGATCCTGAAGATGATTGCTAGTAGGCCAAACTGTCCTATACAAAGGCGCTGGGTGGAAATTGCAATAAGAACGTGTAGATGAATTCCTTTCTACTAATATTGGGTTAATTTTGTAATAACATTTGCATTAGAAACGGGACGTCATTTTTTTCCCATATATGAATCGTTTCTCGTTAAATATAGAGAGACATTACAATGTGTCAAATGATAAATGATTATAAAATAATATGATTATAATATTATTTATTTATGGCAGTAAATCGTTTCAGATATTTTAACAAGTCGGACTTTTTAGCTAGAAAGCGCCGGCATTTCCTAAGACTCACTCTGGGAAGAAACGCCGAAACGAACCACAGAGGATTTTTTTTTTAAGTTAAATAATTATTGCCATTATGTCCATTTATGTCCATTTAGAATAATGTACCTACCTTTTAAATGCTAAATATTTTTTTAATAGTTGCAGTACCTAGTTCCAGATAAAACTCTCCACATAATACATGACTCACAAAATTCTCACTTTCACTTGGTATGTTAGGAAAGATGATAAACATAATTAGGTCAAGCAATTTTTACGAAAAAATGCTTAAAACCAAGTAGTAAGACGAATAAAGAAGGGGTATTCATTTGACTTTGTTAACTTGTGCTTGAATTTTTTAGTTATGTAACTCAATTTTGCAATTTGGCATTGCGTTACTTAAGTATTTTTTTGTTTCATTATTATTCAAAACAGTTTGGCTAAAGCGACTACTTGTTCGCGATATTGTTATAAAAATCATAAACACTATTTACACGTGAGCACAACAGATTTTTTAGTAATGTTATATTTTTAGATGTATTGTAACGTTGCATTTTTGCACCATTACAGAAAATCTAATTATCGACTTGTTGTTATTTTGTAGGTTGCTTTGACAGATAGAGTTTCTGGCGTTTCAGTAAGCTCCGAGAGATGGCGTCACAGTCGAGATTTTTTAGTCTATTTTAATCGACTATTGTATTGATTCGGTCCATGGAATTATTTACTGTATGGAAGTATTGATTCAATTGTAGTTTTTTGCACTTCTTGCCCTGGCAACCCTTTATTGTCGCATTTGCATCTTCCTGGGCGAAGCTGAACAGGGTAGACATGTTTGTGATTTTTGAAAGATGGGGATGAAATCCGTTTCCATTTGGACGTAGTTACACGATAGGGATCCAATCCACATGAAGCTAGTTTTGAGATATTTAACTTTAAAGTTTAAGTCGTAATTCTTCTATGATGCGGTACCATAAATTTGTGGGTTTTATTAAAATAAGCAGGTAATCTTGTTATATTTTAACTATAAATCAAATTCACTAAGTTTGATTTCATATTTTCAATAATATTCAAGAAAATAGGGGCTTGGATCCTTTTTGATATATAGTATTCTCAATAAGACCAGCATAAAATGATAGTTTCGCAGTAAAGCTCCAGTTCATCAACTGATAACGAAATCTTTAAAAATAAATAAATTAACTAATAAATAACTAAAAATGTATTATTCTTATAACATACCTATCAATTTAAAAAAAACAATAGATAAAAAAATGAGATGAATACTGTTGATAACATAATTAAACTGTAATCAAAACAAAACTCTGCAGAGTCATTATAATGCTCATTCTGCCTGACTTTCATTTTCAATCTGAAAATCAAGCTGACCGCTGAATTCTTCGAGATCATCCTCTATATTTTTATCCCCCTGAAGAGACTTG